CGGCCCCTACTGCGCGGCCCCGCTCTACGGCGCGCTCCTGCTGACCGCGCTGGCCGCCAGCTCCGCGCGCGTGAACCTCGCTGCCTTCGGGGCCGACCAGGTGAGTGCCGGGCGGGCCTGCGCACTAACCAGACCCGTGGCCAGGACCGTGGGCAGGCCAACGGTGGCCTCCCCTGGGCCTGCCCAGGATCCACGGCGTTCAGCATCCGTGGTAGTGCTGCGCCCATTTTACAGATAAGGAGCCTGAGGTCTCCAGGGTTCATCAGCCGGGCCCTCCCTCCCCATGGCCTTGAGGGCCCTCGGGGTCTCTAATAGAAGGCAATTTATGGGTGATCATTTTACACCGGGACAGGGAGTCAAATATTTGACTTTTTCCCAACGCAACTACAGAAAATAAAGCTGGGTGCAGCCTGCGTGAGGGAGCTGTGCGCCTCTACACAAGACAGCCATGGACGGGAGGGCGGGGCTGGCTCTGAGGCCTGGGGTACTGACAGGGGCTGCTCTGGCTGGACAGCTGGCCCTGGTCCTCGCTGCTTCTTAGAAATGCAGCTACCCAGCTGTGCCGACGTGCTGAGCCGAATCTGAACTCGGCCGGGGTGTGGGGAGGGGGCCCCGGGCCGCCGACCAGGGCCAGCGCAGCTGAGGGGTGCGGATCCCAGTCGCAGCGCTGACTGGCCCTTCTGCCCTTGCTGGGGCCTGAGACATACTTCGTTGTCGCTAGGTCAGAGCCCGCTGCCGGGGCCGTGCGCAGAACCCCCTGCACCGCCCCGGCCGGCCGACCTCCTCTGGCCGGGCTGTAACCGTGGGCAGGCACTGCGCGGCCACACAGTTCTAGGTGTGTGGAGGAAACTCCCCGCCGGATTCTCGATGGTCCTTAAGTAGCGTGCACACATCATGGCTAATCGTGCGGCACACACCCGGGGTCTTCACTGCCCTCCTTCCTGATTATAGAAGTAACTCATAGCGCAGGTTGCTCAGCGAAAGACAAAGGTAAATCAACCAGCAGTGACCACAGAGACCTTCGGGTCAGGTGCTGTGTGACTGCTTGGTAACAGTAAGAGAGCAGCGTGTGCCGCGGGCGAGGGAAGACAGCCGTGCCCGCGTGTTACGTGACTCTGAAGAGAGGGGTTCTCCCTTCCGCCCACTGGCCAGGCGTGTTGTCTCTGCTTCGAGGTCAGGGTTGGGAAAGTGCCCGCCGGCCCAGGCCCTAGGAAGTGGCCCTGTGGGAGGCGGCGCGGGCACGGACGCAGAGTGACCCTGGACCTCCCTGTCGCTCCCTCTGGCAGGTGAGGGATCTGGGCCGCGACGCCACCCGCCGCTTCTTCAACTGGTTCTACTGGAGCGTGAACGTGGGGGCCGTGTTTGCGCTGCTGGTGGTGGCCTTCGTCCAGCAGAACATCGACTTCCTGCTGGGCTACAGCCTCCCGCTGGGCTGTGTGTCCCTGGCCTTCTTCATCTTCCTCTTCGCCACCCCGGCTTTCATCTCCAAGCCCCCCATGGGCAGCCAGGTGTCCTCCATGCTCAAGCTCGCTCTCCGGGGCTGCTGCCCCTGGCTGCGGCGACCACGCTCCGCCAGGTGAGGGGGCCGCGCGCCTCCGGGGGTGTGCGATCCGGCTTGGCTGAGGGCCACCTGCACGGTCGTGTGCCTCCTGGCCAGGGCCCTCACTGCTGGTGGAGTTACTGGGGATGCTCCGGCTAGAGAAACCGCCGTCGTCTCGACAGCGACAGCGGAGGCCCTGTGGGAGCCGTGGTGCTGGCGCCACCGTGAAGATGAACCCTGGTGACAGGAGTGTCAGTGGCCGCAGAGACAGTGACGTGGATGTGACGGTCCCAGCACGGGCCTGGAGACAGAATGTGGATGATCCTGCCCTGCCCAGTGGTTGGTGAACGTAGGACACGGTGCCCCACCCACCAGCTGGCATCGGAGGGGGGAGCGTCCCAGCGCTCCACATTCGCTCTGTGAAACTGTCCCCGGGCCTGGGACAGGTGCAGCTCCTGTCAGCAGGATCTGGTGGAAAACGTGAAGCGCTTGCTCCCCAGCCCTGCGTTTGCTGGAGCACTGCAGTGCCGAGGCAGCTGGGCTTTTATCGTCTGCCGCAGCCTAGCAAGGCGCACAACTTGCTGGCTCCCCGGCCACCTTTCTGCCCCCCAGTTCTGGGGGTGCCGGGCTTCAGGGCGGACCTGCTCCTGTCTCCAGGCCGCACGCAGTCACCGGGTCCTGAGGCCCCAGACATCCTCGCCCTGGGCTGGCAGTTGAAGGTGGCTTCTCGCTCACCTTGCCTGTCCACTGGAGCCCTGTCCCCTTCATGTGGCCTTCTGACCTGAGCCTCTCAGAGAATGAGGTCCGCATTGTGAGAGGAGAGGGCATTCTAAGAACAAGTGTCCCACGGACAGGAAGCCAAAGCTGCGGTCTGCCGCGTCAGGGAGTGGGAAGTCCGGCACGCCACTTCTGCCTCCTCCAGGGGCTAAAGAGTCTCAGGCTGGCCTGGAACCCACGGGTGCTGGAGGGCTGGCACGCACGCTGGCATGGCGGCTGTCTTGTCTCAGAGGGTGACTGTGCAAGGCTCTGGGACAGGAAGGGAGCAGAAACTGTCAGGGCCAAGGGCAAAGGGTCAAGGCTGCAGTGGTGGCCGGTGTTTCCAGTCTCCCAGGCATTCCTCCCGCCCCTGCTGCCCCTCCTCTTTTCGAGGAATGAGAGGGCTCCTAAGGCCGTCCAGGATGGAGACCGTGGTGTATGGAGTCCGTGGTGGCCTCCCTGTTCCCATGGCAAAGTGAGGCCACCCCCTCAAGTCCCAAAGACTGCTCCCCAAAGTCTCCGGTCTCACTTCCCCAGGACCCAAAGGGACCACAACCCCCCAGTGACTTCCCTCCTAGCTGGGACACAACACCCGACACCTCCAGATTAAAGGAGGAGGGTTCATTTTGCCTCATGGTTTGTAGAATTTCAGTCCATGGTCAGCGGGCTCCAAGGCAGGGCGGCAGCGCACAAGGGCCTGGTGGAGGGAAAGAGCTTACAGCCTGGTGACAGCAAGCGCGGAGGAAGGGAGGAGCCACAGGAAGGTGAACCCTTCCAGTCTCCCTCCCAGGGACTGCATCTGCCAGCCAGGCCCTGCCTCCCGGCCGCAAGGCAGTGACGGCCACAGCGAGTGGTGTGCTTGGGCGGAGGACTAAGGGACAATGGTGGCAGTGAAGCAGCAGCCCTGGGATGGGGGTGATGACATCTGCTGTCCCTGTGGCCCCACAGGCACCCCCAAGGTGTCCATCTGCTGCCTGACCAGAGGGTTCCCCAGCCCGGTCCTTCCCCGCAGGAAGACGTTGCCAACTTCCAGGTGCTGGTGAAGATCCTGCCCGTCATGGCGACCCTGGTGCCCTACTGGATGGTGTACTTCCAGGTGCGCAGGCAGGGGCACGGGCAGCGCGGGGAGCAGCTGCTACGTCCCAGTGGCGCTGGGGGGCTGGAGCGGGCCCGGCCCAGCTGCTTTGCAGAGACTCCCGTCCCCCTGGTCCTCAGTGTCCCGTGTGGACAGCAGGTGGCTCAGACACTTGGTGCTGTGCTCCCAGGAGCCGCAGCTGCAGCCCGCAGGCAGGCCACGCAGGCCCAGTCTGCTGCTGGGCGGGGTATGACGTGTCCGTGACAGCCCAGGGACGCGGGGTCGACGCTGACACCCTTCCCTGCTGGCTGGGAGGTGGGGGGTTCCCCGGACGACGCCTCCTGCCGGCCCCCCAGGGCGTTCCAGACCCCTCCCCTGTCAGTGACCACCTGTGCCCCACGGGGCACAACATGGTTCTGTGTCAGGAGATAGCGCTGTGGGGACGGCCACGCCAGTATCTTCCCGCCTTGGCAAGCATGCTGCGCCTGGCCCTGGACACACCAGCTGTGCGGCTCTCGGATGTCGCAGCCCGAAGCCCCGAGGAGGAGGGGGCAGGAGTGGCCTGGGAGGGGACGGCTACCGCCCGGCACCTGGCTGCTGCGGCGGGTCGCCTCCTCTCTGGCCCGCTCAGCCTGTCCTCCCTCGGCAGATGCAGTCCACCTACGTCCTGCAAGGCCTGCGTCTGCACATCCCCAGGCTCTTCCCCACCAGCCCCACCAACACGTCCGCGGTCCTGAGGGCCTGGGCCAGCGACTACACGGTGAGCAAAGCTGCTCGGCCTCCCCAGCTGCCGGCTGCGGGGCTTGGGAACCGCCCCAAAGGAGGGCGGGCGAGCGGCGCCATACCCAAGCATCCCACCAAGACACTTGACCACCCAAGGGCACCTGGGCAGCCCCATGGCGCCACATGGCTCTGGGCAGCCTTGCGTCTGTCTGTCCCTCACACAGCCCATGCAGGCTCCTGCTTAGCCCATCCGGGCCCTGGATGCCCGGATCTCTTCCTTCTGCAGGACCTTCCTAAACCAGCTCCTTGGCCCTGCAGTCTCCTAAAATCAGACCTTAGGGCTGGCAGACAGATGACACTGCCACGATGGTCCCGCCTGTGCAGACATTACTAATCAATCATAATGTGGTTATGCTGAGCCACTATCAATCCATAGGAGGCAGGAAGCACCAATTGCCACACAGTCAGACCCACGTCCTGGTCGCACCGCCGAGGAGTGTGGACTCCAGAGTGGGGAGGGCATGACTCCAGGTCCCCGTGGACATTCTGGGGTCGGATCTCAGGAGCCCAACCCCAGCTCCTGGCTCCTCCCATGCAGATCCCGGAAGCCTGGCTCCTGCTGGCCAATGTGGTGGCCGTGCTCATCCTGGTCCCCCTGAAGGACCACCTGCTGGACCCCCTGCTGCTACGCTGCCAGCTGCTCCCCTCGGCCCTGCAGAAGATGGCCCTGGGCATGTTCTTCGGCTTCACCTCTGTCGTCGTTGCAGGTGCGTGCTGGGCCGGGACCTGGCCTTGGGGTGGGGCGCCCTGCTGCGGGCCGATCGTGGCCAGCATTCCCTCTACCCATGGGTACCAGCCTTGGTAGATCCTTAGAGACGGGCGTGAGTGTCTCACGTGTGCTGGAATGAACTTCCCAGAGGTGCAGGGCTCCAGGATGATGGGAACTTAAACACCTCCCTGCCTGCTCCCCCCTCCAAAGGATCTGAAGCCGTTTGTGTGGGAAAGGGGCCCGGGCTGCGGGGCGGCCAGCGGCAGAGCAGCTGCCGAGCGGGTGCCAGGCCCAGGGTTCTGTCCCCAGTGCCGCAGAAACAAATGATAACGTGTGACCGGAGGACTCAGCTAGCAGAGCGTTCACGGCCCTGCACGGACCCGAGCCCTTCTTGCTTAATAGCACTCTGGTCCCGAGGTTGGTCCTCAGGTTTCTGCATCTGGCTTTCCGGCAGGGGCAGCGAGCCCCTTGCACCCGAGTGGGCCGTGCCGTGCCCTCGTGGGACAGGCTAAAAGACGAAGCCTGTAGGACAGGGACGGGCCTGGGTCACAGGAGGGGGCGCAGCTCGGGGAGGAGGGGTGTGCTGGGCCAGTCCTCCTCCGCCTGTGCTTCTGTGCACGCTGTCCTGAAGCAGAGGTCACGAAGCGTGGAAAGCAGCCAGCTTGGAGAGCACCCTGCGGCTCAGATCGGCCCCAGATGTGTGACTTGGGGCTCGCTGCCCCCCTAAACGTCACTTATCTGCAAGAACGCCATCAAAGGCTCCCACTGGTGAGAGCTGCTGCTGAGTTCTGGGCTCGCTGGCAGCAAGGCAAAGAGGGAGGAGCTGGAGCCCAAATCTTGACCCCACAGTCCTGGCCGGGACTCCCCGCACCCGCCGCCTGGCCGGTCACTAGCTACTCAGCAGCACTTGCCGAGCGCTGCGCCCTGCGGTGGGCTGAGCTGCTCAGGGCGGGAGAGCCCTGAGGTTGCCTTTGCTCTCCCCCCAGGGGTCCTGGAGACGGAGCGCTTGCGGTATGTCCACCGCAACGAGACCGTGCCCCAGGTGATCGGGAAGGACCTGCACTGGGCCGCGCCACTGTCCATCTGGTGGCAGATCCCCCAGTACCTGCTCATCGGCATCAGTGAGATCTTTGCCAGCATCCCAGGTACCCGGTCCAGCTGGCAGCTCCTGCACCAGTGCGTGGGGAGCAGTCACCCAAGGGACCGACGAGCACCAGGCCCCTGGCCACAGCGGACTTGGGGAGACAAGGGCTCCCCACCCACCTCCCCACATCCCTAGGAGGTGACCGCCCGCCATGTCTTTGCAGTTGCTATTCCCTCCACCAGGCCAAAGGTCACCTCCCCCTGCCCCGTCACTGCCAAGCTCCGGGTCAAGGCCCTGGGCCAAGGGTGCCCCTGTGTCTTCTAACGCAATGTCTGCCCACCCCACAGCCTAGAGCTAGAGCTGCACACTGGGGACATAAAGATAAACCGGCCCCGTGGCCAGGGACACAGCTGCAAACCACCCCGGTCAGGGCTGCACAGGGGCCTCGGGTGGGAAGAAGCTGGGCGGGGCGGGAGGCAGAACCCAGCAGGCGAGCAGGGACCTTGGGGACAGGGTAGGATCGCCATGAGCTGTGGTGAGCCAGGGGCAGGGCTGGAGGATGGGCAGGGGTCCCACGGGCCTCGCCTGATCTTCGGGTTTCGAGGACAAGTGCCTCCCTCAGCTCAGAGCATCTGGCCAGGAAAGAGCCCCACCAGAGACATCCAGTGATGTCCTGGCACGCTGCGGCCGGGCTGGGCAGGAAGTGACCAGGAGAGGGGTGTGGCCCAAGCAGAGAAGACACTAAGACTTGAGGTGGACGCAGAGGACTCGGCAGTGACACGCGGGTGGGCAGAGGGTGGGGAGCAGGACAGCGCCAGCTGTGAGCCCAGAAGCCGGAGCAGGGACTGGGTGGGCAGAGCTCTGGGGCAAGGTGTGGGGCGGCAGGGCGGGGCTGAGCCCTGAGTCGCCCTCCCCCCACAGGCCTGGAGTTTGCCTATGGGGCAGCGCCGCGCACCATGCAGAGCGCCATCCTCGGCATCTTCTTCTGCCTGTCGGGCCTGGGCTCGCTGCTGGGCTCCGGCCTCGTGGCTGTGCTGTCCCTGCCGGGGGGCTGGATGTACTGCCCCACGGACGCTGGTGAGCATGGCCCGGGAGTGCCTGAACGGCTGGGTGGTGCTGTGCTCTACTCTGGACACGGTGAGCTAGGGGGCTGGACGGGGGTACTGGGCTGGAGCCCCAGCCGGCATCGCCCGTAGTGTGGCCACCCCTGCCCGGCCCACGTGCTTAGCAGTCAAAACGGAAGCACGGAGCTCTGTGGCCAAGCAGTCACTGTAGTCAGTGTCCAGCCTCAGACGCACAGGGCGTCGGGGCCGGGCCCCAGAGCCCGCACACGAGGCTCTCTGCCCGCTCAGTGCCCTTGGGCCCCGGCCCTGAGCCCTGCCTGACCCACTCGTCTGCCCCAGGGAACGGCCGCAGCTGCCGCATGGACCTCTACTTCTTCCTGCTGGCCGGCATCCAGGCTGTCACGGCTGCGCTGTTCATCTGGATCGCGCAGCGCTACGAGAGCACACGGCAGGGCTCGGCCCCTCGGCCAGGCCCACCCACGCCAGGGCTCACCTCGCCCCCGCGCACCCGCACCCGGGACACAGATAGCAGCAGGGCCAGCCCGCGTGGCACCTTCTGAGTTTATTCTGGACCCAACGTGGAACGCGTTGGTTCCCATAAATAAGGGAGCCCTTCCTAGACTGTGGTCCATGCAAGGGCTGGGGCAGGGGACCGGGCAGGGGTGTGGGTCAACAAGCACCAGAGGATGCGAGGGGGCAGGCAGGAGGCTCCTGGGACCCCACACCACAGTGGGCTGCAGGCCCCACGGGGGGACGCGGGCCTGGCTGGCCGGGACGGTCAGGAGCTGCCCCGGATGCGCTCCATGTAATTGCGGAGCTCCTCGGGGTCCTTCAGCCCCATGTCCTCGCACACCCAGCGGATGTCCTCCTCGCCTGCCACCAGGATGGACTGCACCGCGGCGGGCTCCTCAGGCAGCTGGGCCGGGGGCACGGGAGCGAACGTCACAAACTCCACACGCTTACGCCGTCCGCCCGCTTCCTTGCGGGCCAGGGTGCTGGAAGGGCCCGGGAGGTCCCCAGGCAGCCCAGGGACAGGGGCCTGGGCCTCCCCTCCTGCCCCACTTCCACAGGGGCAGCCGCCCTCCCCCCTGGGCAGCTCGGGGGCCCCGCGGTCCAGCTGGCGGCTCAGCTCTTCCTGGTCGGTGCCCAGCCACACCCAGTTGTGGGGCTGGGGTGAGGCGGGGTCAGCCGCACTGTCAGGGGGCTCCTTGCGCTGGTAGCGCAGCACAAAGACCACACCGTTGACCAGGAAGATGAGGATGGCCAAGCAGAAGATGCCCAGCAGGGCGTACATGCCCAGCTCCAGCTCTGTGACGCGCTGAGGGGCTGGCACCATCTCTTCCTCTTCCTCCTCCTCGGCCTCCTCCTTGGCCTCTCGGGCCTCTTCTGCCCGCTCGAACTTGCTTCTCACACCCACGCCGCCCTCTGCCTGCCGCTCACCCCCCACGCTGGCCTCGGTGGCCAGTGGGCTCCGCGCCGGGCTTGCTGGGAGGGTGGGTGCAGGCGTGGGTGTGGGGGGCAGCCCCAGCCAGGCGGTGCCAGAGGCCAGGGGCACCCGATGGCGGCCGCGGCGGCAGGGCTCAGGCGGGTGCAGAGCCACGTGCAGGGGCAGCGCCTCAGTGCCCACCCCGCTCACCACCACCCCGAGCTGGGCACCCTGCTCCGTGGCAGGCAGGACGGCACTGGGCTCCTCAGCCGAGACGGACAGCCCCAGATCACGGCGGTCGTAGAGCTCGGCGGGGGCCGTGGTGTGGTCGGAGAAGGACAGCCACAGGGAGAGGGCCACCTCCTGCGGGACACGGACACAGGCAGACACGCGAGGGCACGCACACATGCACAGGAGACCACTCCCACAGAGACAGGCCACACGGACGGAGGAGAGCAGAGAGGAAACGGACACAGGCGAGGACAGGACACGGGGAGAGAGGGACGCCTGTCAATCACCGGTCTGCCGCCGGCCGGGCTCAGTCGCCGGGTCCTCAGTCAGAGCACCTGAGCCACCTCCCACCGCCACAGCAGGCACCGATCCCCTCCCGCTGCGGGGCTCGCCCTCCCTCCCAGGACTGGCGCTCCTTTCGGAAGCCCTCGGGTGAAGGCCGGGTACCAGGACCCCTGCCTCCCGCCCACTCTCCTTCAGCTGGGGTGGACCTCACCCCCCGGCCCACAACCGTCACCTGCTTCGGGGTGGGAAGGGCTGACTGTGCCCAGCAGGTGGCCGTGACCTCCCCAGGGTGGGCGCTACCCCGGCTCAGGGCCAGCGAGATGCCCATCACAGGCTGCACCCGCAGCTCCAGCACAGACACCTTGTCGTCTGTCACGGCCAGCGCCTGCTCCCCCAGGATGGCATTGGACAGCGGGGACCGCACCTGGGGGGACGGAGGAGATGGGGTGCCTGCTCCCCGCCTCCACCCCTACCCCATGCCCCGTTCTCACCTGGGCCCAGGCCCGCCACACCCGGCTCTGCACACCTGGGGTCCCTGCCTGCGGACAACCCAGCCGGGCTACCCGTATACCTGAAGCCACAGCAGGCTCCTCCTGCACCTTCACACCCACCACGCGTGTGCACGCTGGGGAGGGGACCCTATGCGCTCTAGGGTGTGGCCTGCCCTCCCACCCCGCTCACCTCGATGGCCGTGACACCTGGCTCCCGGCCCACGAGCACGCGGCCGCCCTCCAGCGAGGCCACGCGCGGGTCCTGCACGCGGGCGTGCAGCGCCACCAGATGGGTCACGTCCAGCAGCCAGTC